GTGATCATTTCGTAACTTTTAATAGTCGAGAGATTCAATAAAACAAACTCTATAATCGGATAATCATTTATAACATTTAATAGTCGAGTGACTCAATAAAACACCACCCTATAGTCGGGACCATTGTGTACTTTACACTATAATATAATTATAGTTTAATTTTGAAAATTATACTTAATTGTAATTATAGGGGTTCATGGTGTTTTAAAACTAAAAAGAATCGTAATTAAATGCAACCTAGAAATAAATAATATGAGATTTGTAAGTTCGAACTTTAAGAACTTTACCGGTTTTTAAGGGGTGCCCTTTTTGCGGACAAATTTAAGGATATTTTTGTAATTTGAAGTCTCGAACCTAAGCTCTCGTAAGAACACGTGTTATATATTCTTTCAATTTTTTCAATAGTTCGTGTTATCGACCATATTATATTATTTTTTAAATTTTATTTTTAATACCAGTTTATATTGAAGTGATTAAATTATCATTTTCATAAAAAAGTCAAAAATAATAAAAGAATGATTAAAATTAAATAAACTTATTATAATCTCACACCCTTCATCAATAGACGTCACATTTCATCTATCTAAAATGACCATGTAGTACTAAAAACTCATGATTTATTAGAATATTTATATCTCGAAATAGAAAATAATCTACTTAAGAGTTTTATCTTTATTTATCTTCTTATTGAATTAGAATGAAACTGATTTTTATTTTTATTTTTATTATCTTCAATAATGTTTTATCTAAATCATAGATAATAAATAATCGTCGACCGACATCACTATATATATCTTCAAAATTTGCATTGATAAAAAATAGCACTATTTCATGACACAAATTTTAAAAGAATTTTAAATTAAAGCGGTAAACTTTAACTCAGCTTATATTATTGGATTTTAAAATTTATTTACAAAATATTAATATTTACAAATTTTAAAATTATTATCTAAGTTGAAATCCCTAAAACAGCAGAAGGAACCATAATGCTTTTGTAACTGCCAGCATTGGCATAAAAAAACGTTAGCCCACTGTTTTTTAGAACTGATAAAAAGAAGAAGAAAAGGATTATTTTTTGTTTCACTTAAAAAAAATCCATTTCCCACCTTCAATCTCTCTCTCTCTCTCCCTCCATGCACTGATATAAAGCTAAAATCTGTTACATTTCTTGTGCTCCCCTCCTATTTATCTCTGGTAAACAACAAGAGAATTCCGGGACAGAGAGAGACTGAGATCTTAATCTCTTTTATCTCTTTATTTCCTCTAGAAGGCCTTTTCTCTCTTTGTCATCTCTCCAAAGGGGTAATCATATAAGTTTTTTTTTTTTTTATGTTTTCCTATCTGGGTTTTTGTTTGTTTTCCTTTCATCCACAATTCAATATTCTGGGTTTTCTTTTTCATTTTTGAAAAATATCATATAATTTTGCATGTTAGTTTTATTGATAGATAATGGTTTGATCTTGTGTTATGGCATGTTACCAACGATTTGATTGTCTTTTTTTTTTATCTGGAACATGTCTTTGCATTCTTCTATTATACCAGATCAATCATTTATATTAGTTTGATGTTTGTTTAAACTTTAAAGATCTCATGTAGAATATTTTGTTTTAAATTTCTCCGTTTGCTAACTCTTTTGATTTGATTAATGAAAAAGCTAGCTAAAGAAATGGCTTTAGATAGGTTTATTTCAAATGCTATTGTTAATCCTTGAAATTTTGTTTGTTTATTTATTTGTATGTTAGCATTTAACAAAACGAGTTGCTTTGTAATGATCTTTTCTTTTTCTTTTTTTCAAAAATGAAACGGTATTTATATTTTGTTTGTATAATGTGGTATTGTAATCTTTGTTAGGCTAATAATTTTTTTGCGATTAATGAATGTAGAGATTGTGGGATCAAACATGGCGCAAGTAGCTGGAGCAGCTGAAGTAGACAAATCATTTTTACTTGATAAGGAAAATGGGAAACTGAACAAGGATCCTGTTCATAATGAGGCCATTAAAGTTGTTTCCAGTGCCAAGGAATCGGATAAGGGAGACGGGATAAATGCATCGAATGCCAACATCCCAACGGATGCAGTTGATGAATGGCCTGCAGCTAAACAGATTCACTCATTTTATTTTGTCAGGTATCGCCTTTATGACGATCCGGTGATAAAAGCCAAAATCGATCAGGCTGATAAAGAGCTACAAAAGTGGAATAGAACCAGGTTCAAGATTACAGATGAATTAAAAGCTCAGAGGGTGAGTGAAAAGCTATTAATTTCGCATGGCTTGATTAACCGTTCGTTTTTGTTTTTATATAAGGTATTTATTTGTCATGTCCTGTTTGGCTTTTAATTGATTCCTATAGTTTAGTTGACATTATTGCTGTGACGAGTCTTTCGAACTTGTGTTGAATGCGATCGGGTGTGATTTTAGTTATAAATGATGGAAATTGACGCGTGTGAGCATGTAGCAACGATTATGATGCCAGTTTTTGCCTAATCCCGTTTAGTTTTTAAAAGCATTATCTTTATGTCTTCAGTTGGATCGAGCAGAGTTACTTTCTCAAGTGAGAGCCTTGAATGTTGATTTTGACCAATTTAAGGAGATTTTAGGAGAGAAAAAGAAGGAAATAGAACCATTGCAGCAGGCTTTAGGCAAGCTACGCACCAATAACTATGCTTTTGGTGGTCTATTCTCATCTGAGGAAGAGCTAAATGGTGTTGTAAGTTACTCCTAACTGTTTCGAGAATTTTTCGATTGTTTTCTGCCACATTTAATCCTTTGCTGTTTTAATCACTTAATGGAATTGGTAAACCACAGATCCATTGCTTGCAATATCGCATTCAGCATGAAAGCATCCCATTGGCTGAGGAGAAGCAACTTCTTAGAGAAATCAAACGACTAGAGGGAACCAGGGAAACGGTCCTCGCTAATGCGGCAATGAGAACAAAGATTCAGGATTCGATGGGTCAGAAAGAAGCCATTCAGGATCAGGTTAAAGTAAGAAACTTCCGTTTTGCATCTCTTGAAGTTTTCTTTCCCACTTCCCTCCTGTATTAATAAGACCTTCATTGTTTTACAATAAAAACTTGCTATATTGTTTTATTGTAGCTTATGGGAGTGGATTTGAATCGAGTAAGGAAGGAGCAGCATGCAGTCCAGTCCAAGAAGAAGCTGATTAAAGATAAATTGAATGCAATAGAGAAGAGAATCAACATTTTACAGGAGGAGCTGAAAGATGTGACCGAGAAGAGGGACAAAGCTTATGAAACCATTCAGGAACTGAGGAAACAACGCGATGAAGAGGTAAGTCTTTTCTTAGCTTTTTAGCTTTAAAATTTCTGTTTCATATGCACACATGACCATATCCGAACATTCATTGTGCTTGAAGATCTTCATGGAATTTTGACATCGTTCGAGTAAAACCATTTATTTAGTTAAATTTTTATGTCGTTTTGCCAATATGCATAGTCAACTTTCATGCTTCATCGTGATTCGCGAATGCTATTTCTATGGATGGACTAGTTTTAATTACTATTTTCTTTCAAAATTTCAGAATATGTACTTTTTCCAGAGCCGTTCACTCTTAAACAAGGCCAAAATCGTTGCTGCCAAGAAAGATATGAAGGCACTTGAGGAGCTTGCAGCTGTTGAGGTTTGTTGAGACTGCAGAAGTGCAGATTATTGTTACGTTTAGAGAATCTCGTGTGTTTCATACTCGATCGGTCACTTATCTTCTGTACTGGTTTTAGGCTGAGAAGTTTATGGCTCTCTGGAATGGTGACAAAGCCTTCAGGGATGATTATGAGAAACGAATTCTGACATCCTTGGACAGTCGGCAATTGAGCCGAGATGGCCGGATAAGGAATCCTGATGAGAAACCACTGGTTGCAGCAGAGGTACCGGTACCTACGCAAACTGAAACAATTCTGAGACCTAGTTCGAGACAACCAAAGGAAGAAGCCAAGTCCGCTCCTCAACCAGGTACTAAAAAAAAGGTCCAGAAAGAAGCTGAGACCAAAGTAATGGAGTCAAAATCCTCTCCAGAGAATGTCGTAGCAGAGAAGGAGATCTCTGGATCGGGCAAGTCGGAGGACACATCCGCAAGCACCAAAACTGATGCTGAAAAACTGAAAGAGAAGAAGAGAGAAGAGGAAATTTCAAAAGCAAAACAGCTTTAGAAAGGAAGAAGAAGATGGCTGAAAAAGCAGCTGCCAAAACAGCTATAAGAGCTCAAAAGGAGGCTGAAAGAAGCTCAAGGAAATTATTTGCTTCTCTTTCTCTTGTTTTGCTTCTGATAAGTAGTGTGGGTTAAAACTGAAATCTTGCAAGGTTATTTTCTTTCAGGAGCGTGAGAAGAAAGCAAGGAAGAAGGCAGCAGCAGCATCTTCAAGTGCTGTCAATCCCGAGGAACCAACTGAACCTGAGGCTGAGGCTGAGACTGAGGCTTCAGAATCTGAGAAGGTCGGTGTTAATGCTGATGCACCTGTTCCTGCTCCTGTTTCAGTGAAGGACAAGGCGAAAAAGGAGAATACAGTTCGGTACAGAAATCGAACTAAAGGACCCGAGGCACTTCCAAGAGCCATCCTGAGACGCAAGAAGTCGACCAACTACTGGACGTGGGCAGCTCCTGCTGCGCTGGCTGTGCTGATACTTCTGGCATTGAATTACTACTATTATCTTGTCTGAAGAAGTAAACTTGAATGAAACCAAGAGTTTTTTATTGACATTGCTAGTAGCTAGGTCCATAGCGGCAAAAGGTAGTTAATTCTGTTCTTTGCATCCATGAAGGATGCTCTAAGAAAACTCATAATGTTGCTGGTAGTTCAGTTTGAATGCTTTCTGAAGCCAAACTTAGTAATTCTGGTTTAATTGGTTGTATTTTTTAAATTGTCTTCCATTAATTTGAGAATGTCATCAGAATCCTTTACAGACAATTCCTGTTCTTATAGCATTTCCATATTTGTTCAACAAAGTAACAATTACTCAACAAGTATGATGCATTATACAAACAAATATTCATCTCATAAGAAATCTGGAGATACTGAACTACTAGTAGAATGCTTCTCATTTGTCGAAGACAACTCGGAAACCCTTTTAACAGCTTATGATGGTTTGGATAAACCAGGGAATTGGTGGGATATTGATCTCTTGGACTCCTTCAAGAACCTGAACAACTTGCGCCATGGATGGCCTATTTTGCTCTTCATCTTGAATGCACCAGCATGCAACTCTACAGGCTCTGATGACTTGTTTTGCATTTGCACCCCCCTGCAACTTGGGATCCAACAAACTTAGTACATCCCCTCCGTTGCTTAAACAGATTGCGGCACGAGCTGGGAAGTAATTGTCGTTCTTATCATCTGCTGTCTCCCAGTTTCTCCTTCCTGATATAATCTCCAAAAGCAGCATTCCATAGCTATAAACATCAGATTTAGGAGTAATGGGTTCACCTGAAATCATTTCCGGCGCAAGGTAACCTCTTGTTCCTTTCATTGAAGTCAAGACACGGCTGAAATCCCTACCGAACAGCTTTGATAGTCCGAAGTCTGAAAGCAGAGGATTATAGTCCGAGTCAAGAAGAATGTTCTCGGGCTTGATATCGCAGTGTATGATGCGTACTCTGCACTCCTCGTGGAGATAGGCTAATCCTCGAGCTATTCCCAGTGCGATATGATGCCTTGTTTTCCAGTCTAGGATCTTCGAGTCCTTATAAAACAGATGACTGTCCAAGGAACCATTTGGCATGTAATCATATACTAGAAACCTCTTCATCCCCTTCAGGCAAAACCCGAGAAGGCGCACGAGATTAACATGATGAATTGTCCCTATGGTGCTCACTTCAGCGCGGAACTGCTTTTCTTCTTCGTCTTGAAATTTGAGACACTTGACAGCTATGGCATCCGAATTCGGAAGCATTCCTTTAAAAACAGAACCAAAACCACCTTCACCTAATTTTTCGGAAAAATTCTTCGTCGCACTCTTTAAGTCACCGAACTTAAAGATAACCAGAACATCATCAGTTGCTTTAGCATCTGAGTAACTTGTCATCCTGCGTGTTGAAACTAGGAGTCCCAAGATACCAATCAAAATCACAGTTGCTGCAGCTGCACTAATAGTGAACCGCTTGATTCTTATCCTCGGTTTATCTCCGCCAGCTTCTGGAAGCCGGAGATATAGATCTTTTCCGAGATTGTCACCATATGACAGGTACCGGATGGTCACCAAATCTTCTCGCCATATGGAGCAATTACCATCATATCCAATCGTGTATGCAATACAAGTGCAGTTTCTTAAGCAGGCTGATTTACACTCTTCCAAGCTCTTATCATTTGTTAATGACACTTCATATGCCGGTAATAATATGTTTTGAATCACTCGGAAGCCATGTTTTGCATCATTACCGCACCGCAACCGAGATCTTCTACGACAACCATTTGTATAATTTCCCCGATTCCATTCTGCAGGAACTTTAGGTTCAAAACCATCCAAGCATCTACAATGAGGCAAAACAAACTGATTGCAAGCACCATTTGCTCCACAGAAATCAAATATTTCACAATCTTCCTTTGGTTTTTCCCAAATAGTTTCCCATTTCTGAGAATCATCTTTCCATACGAGTTTCTGCACTTTCCCTGATACATCAATCTTAAATCGAACAGGAATCGAGGGGCTGGTGATCGAGTAGTTATAGTAGTTCTCTTCCTTATTCGATACATAGTCCATGTTGGTATACTTGTCAGCCACTATATCAGTACTAAACGAGGAAATTCTCTCAAGCCAACTCCCACAAGTCCAGTGCCTATGCCGATTTTTGAGTACATGATACGCCGGGGTTCCATCTGCGTCGAGCACCAGGGAAAACGGTCCAGGCGAAGGATCATTCCAACTGCTCCAAGAAACATAGCTTTGCCTTTGCCCTTTCCTGTTCATCTTGCTTCCTCCAAGCTTGGCACCAGGCAACCATGTATCAGTGGGATGATCAAAGCTTTCCCATACTAACCAAAGAGCTCGAACTCGAAGTCGAACCATTTCTCAAAACAAGATTCCCAGTATCCTCAAGAACAGCAACAACGGAATCATACACGGTGTTTGATGATGACCAAACTGGGATTTCAGATTGATTGTAAAGAACAAGTCTACCCGTTTCGGTGAGCTCGAGTCTCGAACCGAAAGGATCGTAGAGTGGTGCATCTCTGTTAGCCACCCACACCACAACATCAACTGATAGGGTGTACCAGATTCCTACATAGTGGCCTGTGGAGTTACCTGGCTTGAAGAAACCAAGTTCAAACCTTCCATTGCTAGAGGTCAAAGTTTGGTTACCAGAGAGCGATTGGCCTGGATGCATGGCGTTGGTATCCATTTTAATGGAGACATAGCTTTCAAATGATAGGAAGTAAACGATGAGAACATGGAGAGTAAGCAAAAGCTTTGTTCTGTTTCCCATAGGAGAAATTTTGGACGGATTTGTTTGTGTTTTTGAGTCGATTTGTTTATCTTTCGTTTCATCAAAAGAAAGCACTTTTAAACCTTATTTCCCAAAGCTCAAAACACGTTTTTGGATGCTTTCAATAGAAAAAGGGTAAATTACATTTTTACTCACTAAACTTTACTCTCTCTCCTATTTCATTCACTATACTTTCAATTTTTCAATTTGCTCACTAAACTTTAGACATTAATTTTTTTTATCACTCGACCGTTTACTCAATAACGAGGTACTTACGTGTCTTATTTTAATAATAAAATATGCAACACGTTTACTCATCGACTTTCCCTCTCTTATTTCACTCACTATTTATTTTTTTCAATTTTAATTTAACTTCATTAGAAATTTAACGGTCGAGTGACAAAAAAAGTTTAATTTTTAAAGTTCAGTGAGTAAATTAAAAAAATTAAAAGTACGATGAGTGAAATAGGAGAAAGTAAATTAATGAGTAAGCGTGTAATTTACCCAAAAAAAAATTAAAGACGTATTCAAATGAGTGCAAAGGGGTCCCTTTGAAAATTACATTTTTGGTCTTTTATTATTATTATTATTGAATGTTTTATAAGAAAGCAGTCAAAAAAAATTCCTTTTCAAAAAAAAAAAAAAGCAGTAAAGAAATTGACTAAGAGTCAATTTTTGTGTCGACTTGTCTCATCAACTTTTTTTTTTTAAATGATAGTAATAAATTTAATTTTTACTATCTATCCATTTTATTAATTTAATTTTTAACATTTTAAATTAAATTTAGTGCTTAATCTTAAAAAAAGTAGACAACTTTAGTTTATTTAAAAAAATTAATTAAAATATTAAATTTGAATTTAACAATTCCTATGACAGTTTGTATATACTTCATACTATTTATTTTATTTGTTAACTCAATAAATAATTTTAGATTCATAAAAAAATATTTTAAAGATACGAAATATAAAAATTAATATGATAGCATACATGGATTATCATGTTAATAACCATTACAGATACTAACAAAGCGATATTTTAGAATTTAAATTTAAATTTTAAAAAAATTTAAAAAATGGTTTTAAATTAGTCCATAATTCAAAGGACCAAGTCTTCCACTGGACGACATTTTTCATTTAATTACAAGATAAGGTTGCTTGAAAATTTCAAATTAAAATTAATGGTCGGAAAACAAAGTTTATGTCTATTCATCACTTTTACATAAGAAGTTCATAATCATTAAAATGGTTAATTACGGTAGACATCCTTAAATTGTGAGATCAAATTTAAATTGACTTAAAAAGTTCAAACATATAAGATAGATACAAGATATAATTTATAAACTTATTTTTCAATTAAGTCTTTTTAATAAATTGCTCATTGTTTTTAATAGTTTTAATTAAATAGACATGCTCAAGATATGGGTCAAATTTAAAATTAATCTCTTAATTTCATATTGTTTAATATGTACTAATTAATTTATGGAATTGTTTTAATTAGATCCTCCTATCGGTTTCATCGTTGGTTTCAGTATTAAATATCGATTTAAATTTAATACGTTTCTTTTTAAATACGGAATTAATAAATCAAATTTAAAGAATAAAAATAAAAATTGGTACCACACCAAGGCCCAAGCCCATTGACGTATCGCCGGCTCAAACAGTCTTTGAACGTATTTGTTTCCCTCGGAAATTCTAATTCAAAATTCCAATAGCGTCGCATTCCTCCTTTCTCTCCTCAACGGCGATGGCGACGCCGACGCCGACGAAAACCCCATCGGGAAAATCCAAAAGATCTCACTCTCATCTTCACGAAACACGTGACGCTTCCTACGTTTCTTCTTCTCTGTCCCGTTTCGAGGCCTACAACCGCCTCCAAGCTGCTGCGGTGGCCTTTGGTGAGAAGCTTCCTGTCCCGGAGATCGTGGCGCTAGGTGGCCAATCTGATGGGAAAAGCTCTCTCCTTGAAGCTTTGGGGTTTCGTTTCAATGTGCGTGAGGTCGAGATGGGCACTCGTCGGCCTCTCATTTTGCAGATGGTTCATGACCCTTCTGCTCTTGCCTCGTTGTCGCTTCCAGGTGGCTTTTGTTCTTATATATTGTGAATTTGGATTCTTTTTTGATGGGTTTAAAGGAGCTTTTTGGATTTCATGTAATTATTAGTTAAATCAAGTTTTTACCCCTGTTTATTTAATTCTGGTTAGAAGAACTTCAACATTGTTTAATCAAAAGGAAACACTGAAATTTTGAGGAACCTGATTGAATAACATAAACTTTTTCTTTATGATAGAATTTAGACAGAATAATTTGTTAAATATTTTTGTTAAAGAGTTGAATATTACAACAATTTTTTATGATCGAGCAGCGAAAGTATCCACAATGTAGAAATTTGCGAAGGATTTATTAGGTTTTGGATGACGATAATCTTGATTTTGGCTTTAACTATTTTGCTAGCATTTTTCCTTTTTTGTTTAGGATATGGGTGTTCTTCATTAATAAATGCTCCATTTCTACATCCTGCCATGTTTCTCCTGTGATGTTTTATCTTTTTTTCATTGATTTTGTCTATTGAAAACAGGAAGAAGATTCTGAAGAATATGGAAGTCCAGTTGTTTCAGCATCAGAAATTGCAGATATTATAAAATCAAGAACCGAGGTACTTTTGAAAAAAACTAAAACTTCAGTTTCTCCTAAGCCAATCGTAATGAGAGCTGAATTTGCACATTGCCCAAACCTCACCATCATTGATACTCCAGGATTTGTTCTTAAGGTACGTTGTTTCTTCATTTGAGAAAAAAAAATCTGAGCAAATTGGTCGAAATCTTGAAACAAAATGGTTCATTTATGAATCAAAACTTGTGGTTGGAAATTTGTTGGCAGGCAAAGAAGGGAGAACCAGAGAACACACCAGATGAAATTCTTTCAATGGTGAAGTCATTAGCGAGTCCCCCATCGTATTCTTGTTCCTTCAGCAGAGTAGCGTGGAGTGGTGCTCATCATTGTGGTTAGATTCAATTCGTGAAATCGATCCAACCTTTAGAAGAACAATAGTTGTAGTCTCCAAGTTCGATAATAGACTCAAGGTACATATTTTTTGCTCTCCTTATTTGGCTTTGTCATCTATGAGATCTAACATTGAGCTGATACATTCACACACTGATGTATTACATATTGTGGCAACCCGCCGAGGATTTTTTCTGAGCTTGGTTTAAGGAGAAATTAAACCTCGGGGACCCAAAAATATTAGGTGTCTGACTGTCTATATACATAATAGGCACTGAAAGTATAAGCCTTGCCTGTTGCTTGATATGGTGTTTCTCTGTGTTGTAACTTGGTTGTGTATCTGAAATTGTGTGCAATGTGATCGCGACAATTCAATTAATGCAGGAGTTTAGCGACAGATGGGAAGTGGATCGTTATTTGAGTGCAAGTGGATATCTTGGAGAAAATACTCGGCCATTTTTTGTAGCACTGCCGAAAGAAAGAAACACCGTCTCGAATGATGAATTTCGAAGGCAAATATCCCAAGTAGATTCTGAAGTTTTACGACACCTGAACGATGGAATCAAGGGAGGTTATGATGAAGAAAAGTTCAAGCCCTATATCGGTTTCAGTTCTTTGAGGGAGTATTTAGAATCAGAACTTCAAAAGAGATACAAAGAAGCTGCTCCGGCAACGCTGGCATTGCTCGAGCAGCGCTGCAGTGAAGTTAACATAGAGCTTGCAAGAATGGACTCCAAAATACAAGCAACTTCTGATGTTTCTCATCTTCGAAAATCAGCCATGATGCACGCAGCTTATATCTGCAATCATGTGGTGAGGCGTTTCTCTCATGCAGGTTTTTCATTTGGTTCAGTTAAAACAGTCTCATCATGTTAGATTTAGCTAATTTAGAAAACCATTTGCCCTTATGGTAATGTATAATTATTTACCAAATTGGACCACTCTCAATATCGTTGAAACTTTTGTGGTGGAATCATATTTTCCAACATCTTGAGCTTATAGCATATACCAGTTTCACGACCTGAATTCACCATGTTGAATTGGAGCTCTTAATTGAACTGTTGTTTTTTCCATAAAACTTTTGGTTGAACTACAAGAAACTGATCACACCCTTACGTTGCTTAAGGGGGTTTTGATTGATGGAGCAGCTGATCCTTCCCCAGAGCACTGGGGAAAAACAACTGAGGAGGAAAGATCCGAGAGCGAGTTAACGAGTTGGCCAGGTGTTACTGTTGATATAAAACCTGCTAATGCTGTTCTTCGTCTCTACGGTGGAGCTGCTTTTGAACGAGTTATGCATGAATTCCGCTGCGCTGCATATTCCATTGAGTGTCCCCCAGTATCAAGAGAGAAGGTAGATATCCCGAACTTTGAAATTTTTGCCCCAATAGTATCCTGTTTGAGCATAAGTAAATAGATATATTCCCCTGAAACAGGTTGCAAATATTACTTGCACATGCTGGCCGAGGTGGGAGTAGAGGAGTAACAGAGGCTGCTGCAGAAATAGCTCGTACTGCCGCACGGTCATGGCTCGCTCCTCTCCTTGATACCGCTTGCGATCGCCTCGCCTTCGTTTTAGGCAATCTTTTCAATATTGCTCTAGAGAGGAACCGCTGCCGCGAATCGGAATGTAAGTCATTTCCCCATCACTGACTGAACTCTTTAGCCATCATTTACCTATTAATTTCTATTAATTTGCACAGATGGGAAGAATACTGGAAACTGGGATGGGTATGTCGGGTTCCATGCCGCTTTAAGGCATGCATACAATCGCTTTATAAAAGATTTGGCTAAACAGTGCAAGCAACTAGTTAGGCATCATCTTGATTCAGTCACAAGTCCATATTCTCAGGTCTGTTATGAGAATGATTTTCACGGTGTCTTCGGCTCGAGTGCAAGCTCATACCACATATATAACCGAGCTTCGGCTGCTTCCTTTTGCCTTGAGCTATCCGATGGCGGCCAATTAACGCGTGATAAGACAAACGATCAGGAGAACATACCTCCCGAAAGCAATGCAAAGCAGAC